GTCCGACGTTGGTTCCCTACAAAAAGACACTTTGGACCACCTCAAGAAATTGTTTTAGATGAAACAACAATGGAAGAAATGATGAAAAAAGTAGGTTAAATGAAGAAATTATATATATATTTATTAAAAGAAAGTAATCAAATAATAATGTTGAATTTTTATTTAGTTATCTTTGATATCGGATATACCTGAAAAGTATATAAATATAATGAGAGGAAAGGGTTCAGTACATATACCTGTTGTACGAGTTGAAAATGATGAAGATTGGATTGAATTAACATCTGGTGACGAACTTAATGTTGAAGATGGTGCTGTATTCTTATATAGGTATGTCTTATATCTTAAAAATAATTATGATATAGAATGTATAAAATGATTAAAGTAAAATATAAAAATAATTAACTTCCGAAATTTCTATTTAATAGAGATAGCAGGGAAACTTCACAACCATTAACACAAGAAGAGTACAATGATATCGCAATTCGAGAAGTATCACCTTTTTTACCACTTTCCTCTGCATCACGTTATAATGCGCGTAAAGAAAAAGCGCTTAGAATATATTTGGATGGTGAATGATCCTCCATTGAACATACGTATTCTGAAAAACAATTGTTAAATAGGCATGTGTGGGAACATGAAACGTTTGCGTACAAAGTGATAACATCGTGTCAGGTATTTGTGGAATCAAGTACTCAACAATTACAAAATATTCTGTGCTTCAGTAAGTCTTCAATATTTCAAAGCTTCCACGTCTTTAAAGTTTTTTGGCTCTTCGAACCAATCGGATTTATAAAATTCCTCGAATTTGTGAAATATTACTCGTTACCAAAAGATTTCAAATTCAGATTATCTCGTTTCATTTCAATGTGTTTTAATACCATAAGGATCATAAAATTCCCAATAACATATGGATTATTAAGCTATAGAATTTTATTCAAAAGCACAAATACTGATGAAAATAATGAAAGTGCTAAATAATAGTGAATTATGTATAAGAAAGAAGAAAAAAAAAATGAATTAATGGTGATAATTCGAATTTAAACTATGGACTTCTTATGATATGTGTGTGTGTAATTGACATATATATGTATTTGGAGTTCCTGCAACTACATTATTTTCACAAATTCCTTAATACATTTCTTAATCTCAAGAATTTTTATATCTTCACATATCTGTATCAAAACGTTTTAGCTAATTATCTTGTTTAAAATGTTAAATATTTTTAATGTCAAAATACAGCACAGAGTATATTCATATTTGTTGATGTTTAAGAAAAAAAAAGAAAAGAAAAAGAAAACATTTATCTGACACAACATAATTAACCCTTTTAATGCCAGTATAGGTTAAATTGCATTCTTACAATATAATAATATCATAAGTCTTGAGTTCAATTATTTAATTTGAAAGTAGTAGCGCTTATATAACTGTTTCAATTCAATAACTATTTCAAAAATACAAATATTTTCTATGATTTTGGATATATTAAATATACATTCTATGAATTTATTAATAATTGATACATTCTACGAATTTATTAATAATTGGTACAATTTTATATTATTAGCGTTACTATTATCAAATTAATCGATATGAAATATAAATATTAATTTTGGCCAGATATGTATCCTATACAATCTGTTTTAATTTATTTAATTATGTATGCTATCATTCATTACATGTTATGGGTACAAAAAAAAATCTGTATCCCTGGAAAAAACCAAAAAAGTATATTTAGCCACTTTTTGGCATTAGAACTATTTCCTACAAATCGAATTTTCGATATAATGAAAATAAAAGATTCTTGAAAGAAATTCACCAAATTTACATTTTGTAGACCAATGCTTGTAAATAATAAAACTTGTGAATCAAATATTGATATCTTTCTTCATATCAATATCACCATACATCGGTAAACAGAATATATAAATATATATATACATATAAAAATATGTTTTGTATTAAAATGTACGATAATGCAATGTATGCATGTAGCACACCATCCTTTTTGCATTTACCAACAGTTTAACTTGGCATTTTTTATTAATACTACATTTTTAGAAATTTTGGTGCTGAAAGGGTTAAATACAAAGTTGTTGTTAATCCCTGTCATTTATTAGAACGTTTTGATAGACTGTTCATGATTTATTATTTCTTTGCAATTGTTTCATCAAGACAAGCGCATTGAATTAAAATTCGATAGAGGTATTGAAAAATTCATTATATAAAAAAGGAGGAATTTATATATATATATATATATCTTTGAAATAATAATATCGATTGTTGTACAACAATTTACAATGCTCTCAACAATTTTCAATATATAACTGTAATTTATATTTATAATATATTTGTTACATGAAAGCCTAGTTCAAATCGTTCGCGTGTGATTATATCGATATTAATAACTTGTTATAAACATGACAATCTAGATGTTTACAAAGTAAGGAAAAAAAATGAAGAAAAAAAAAAATACAAATAATAGCAAGTTTCATGCTGTGAAAATCTTGTTGATGCATATCATTATAATAATTGAAAAAATTATGAAATGCAAGTCTATTGGTTGTGTTTTGAATTATTAATAAAATTTATTCTTTCATTAAAAATGATAATTAAAAATTATAATTTTATCAATGATATAATTACATATAATATAAATATTAAAAAAAAAAATAATGATAAAAATCATTTCTTCTATATTTTATAAAATAAATAAATTTTACATACGGTTATGAAAAATAACTACGAACTAAAAAATTATCATTGATAATTTTTTCAATTTCTTATTTAAAAATTGCTTACTATTTGTCATTAGTATTAGTATTTTTGCTGTATTTGAAAATAATGAAAGACTTAATTCTTTTTATCTTCTTTTCATATTATTTTGAATCCTATTGTATCATTTGTAATTTAACGAACTAGGCTTTAATTTGTTTTTGTAATTACCAAATATTGAAGTAGTCTCTTTTGTGCATAATAGTAGTATATGTGCGAATAATAAATTTGAAATTTATAAATTATCAGAAAAAATTTAAATTTAAGCACTCTGTAACCCCATTGATATTTTTATATTTGTTTGTACTGATTTAAAAAGTTTGTAAGACTGCGAACATTATCGATTATTTGAATGAATTTTTCGTTTGAATTATACGTTATTAAATAGTTTTTAAAACTTTTTTCTCAAACACTTCTTTGTTATTATAAGGAAAAGAAATCTTGCAAATTTACTATTTCATTAATTTTCAATATTCAATATTTACGTATATTCCTATAACAATTTTCAATATTTATATATCTCTACTTAAGTATATATTTAAACTTTTTAAGTATTTTAGTTTTGAATTGAACGTGAGTATTTCGCCATCTTTTGATTAATGTTTAAAATATTGAAGTATTTACATATATTTATGTTAATGAAGTAATACAAATGACAATAAAAGTCGTATTGTATCTTTTTGCAGATAAGATAATGTCGAAATTGTAACGCGCAAACTTTAAATATTATGATTGTAGTTTCTAATGAATTCTTTTCATTATTGACGATTAAATATGTTTTTGTATTATACACTACAAAGCAAATTATGTTCACTTATATTAATAATTGAATACCGAAGTGATTGAATTTTATTGTTTGTATTTACTGGTGTTTTCTCTTGCCTTTGACAATTGTTATATCCATTAATTTTTAATATACTTTTTTGCGTGAGTCGTTTGAAATGGACTGAATAAATATTTCGTTGAAACTATGTTTTTATTTCATGTTTTATTTTTTTCTTATAAAATTTATTATTTTATTATTTTATAGAAGAGATTTTATTTACTTAGATAATATATTTATGAGTTAAACAAATACACATTTTATATAAAGAGGAATAAGATATTTTTAAATTAATTTTTAGCAATTTTTTAAATTCATTAATTATTTATTAATTTCATTTAGTCTGAAAATTATTTTTTTCAACATAATATATTCTTAATTTTTTAAATTCTTTATTTCTTATTTACTTTCTTAATTTTTTTTAACATAATTAAAAATTATTAAATAAAAACTATTCAATTTTACAAATATTTTTATACTAAACATCATTTAAATATTAATGTACTTTTCTATATTTTGAGAAAACTAGAACTTATCATTTACTATCTTAATATTTAATTATTTTAATTATTAAAATAAAGATTATTAATATTACTAATTTAATTCAGAAAAATCATAATTAAAATTAAAGATCAATCTTTGATAGTATCGTTTTTCGAATATTTTAAAATTCTTTTTTATTCTTTTTGTTGACTGAATTTTGTTGGCTTTTATTTATACTTCATCACTGTTCACAGCGATGCTTTGCATAAAAAAATATATATTAGGAATAAATATATATTTATTCAAGATCATTGAGATACATTGTAAAATCGAGAATATCTATATTTTTACATTAAATATTAAGATACATTTTTAAAAGAGAAATTATAAAAATATGTTCAATTAATATTCCTACCTCATTTGTGATCACGTGATACGAGTAAGTATAGAATAAATAAAAAGAATAAAGAAGGACAGAGATAAGAAAAAATAGTGAAATCAATGCCATCTTTAGAGTGTTATAAATGAAACGCATAAAAAAAGACAGAAAATAATAAAAGAAGGATAGAGATAAACTAAGAATTGGTCATTAGAGCCATCTCTGAATGCTTTTAAAAAGATGTTTCTTTGAACAAATATCCTTAGTTTTCAAAAGATGGCATTGATGGCTAATTCTTTGTAATCTATTCTCTTCTTTTTTCTATTCTTTCTTTGTAAATTTCATTTGCAACATTTTAAAGAATCATTGATTTCAATATTTTAATTTTTTTTCTATCCTTCTTTTGCTTCTTTTTATTTATATTTGTATTTTACTTTAGAAATGTCGCTGATTTTTAGTATATTTAGCGTATCTCTATCTTTTTTCGAATATTTGCTATTCTTGTCTGTATCATCATGAAGAGTTTCATGTTTGCCAACACAGGTGATTAAAGTTTTTGAATGTATATATATTAAATAAGAAAGTAAAACATAAACATTGACTTTGGATATTATATTAATAATTTTGTGTGAATAAGAAGAAATTTATATTTCTTTCTATTACATGCAAAATATGGTATACTTACATTTTCCATCAAATTTAACAGAAGAAGAATTGATGTTGCAAGCGAAATATAATAAACTTAAAAGAAAGGTATATATTTATAGGTTATGTTTATATTTTATTATAATAAATATTTTAATTTTTTTAATATACTGTGAATTTATTTATTCATATACAGTTACATAATTAGATTAAATATTATTTATCTATGTGTAAATTCTTATTTGAAATTTTTAAATTTTTAAATAAAATATTTTACGATAGAATGTTATTGCTATTTTTAGGTTATTTTTTAATTTCTACCTTTTTTAATTTTATTTTTTTTATATTACCTTTTTTAATTTTATTTTTTTTACTATATATATTAATTTTTATATTAATTTTTAAAAGAAAAAAGCACTACAAGATTTGAAAGCTCCAAAACAAGAAACTGAACGTGTACCACAAACGCCAAAACGGCCTACAGAGGCTAGAGATGCTAGGGAAGTTGCCAAAAAGTTGATAAAATCTGGAGTAATTACAGCTCCAAAAACTCCCAAACGACCAGAACAATCTTTTAAAAGACCGCGTGGATTAGTAAGAAAATTAAATAGTACAGAAAAAACAGTAAGTTCTTATCAACCATTCTCAGCCACACAAATGGAAGAAGAAGAACCAGAAACAGTAAGACCAAGAGTTAAAGATTTATATGATAGTTTTGTGAGTGCTCAAGATACAGAAGATCGAACTAGTAGAGATGTACAATCACCATCTAAACAAGAAATGAAGCCAAGAGCTGGAAATACAATATTTGTATGTGGTTACAAGATATCGGAAGATTTTTTGAAGAAACATTTTCAAACATTTGGAAATATTATAAATATTTCAATGGAAGCAGAAAAAAAGTAATTAGAATTAGTTTCAAATATTTATTCAATTTACTTTCATTTGAAAGGTCTAATCTCATCATTAATGTTCTAAATTTTAGTCGTGGATTTGTCACATTTGATAAAACAGAAGCTGCTGAAAGAGCAATTAGTGAGATGGATGGTAGCATGGTATCTTCTATTCAATTAAAAGTATCATTAGCACGAAGACAACCTATAATAGAATCTATGACTGATGCTACATCTAGTTCTATGTGGTCGCCGATTGCAGCGAATTATTCTCAAAAAAGTGCACATAAAGATAGGAGAGATTTAAAAGTGTACGAAGAAGATCTTTTTATGTGAATATAATATTTTTTAATTTATCTTATGTTATATGTTGTTATAAAATTTTAACAGTCAGAGAATTTTTAAAAATAGATTTGTACATAGTATAATTATACTTTAATATTTGCAAGATATCAAAAAATATTTTTTTCAAATGTATCTTAACTGTTATAACTGATATTGCGCTGATTATTATACATACATTCGTATTTAGTTAATACGAATATACGAATATATGAATAGGCAAACAAGATATAAAAACATATTATTCTATTTTAATTTTTCTCAATCACTTATTATTCTTTATCAATTGGTAATTTTTAGATGATATTTTGAATTTGATCTTTTCCTTTAAAAAAAAAGGATTTTTATCAATAAAAAAATAATTATAACATTTGTGTTGATAATAGATCTATAATTGAAATATATATAGATGTATATATATTGTTTTTATACATATTCATTATTTAGCAATTAAATACAAGTATTTTTATAATAAATTACGTATAGGTATCATTTCCTTCACACCTATCAGTCAATATAATTTTTGGCATGTTTAAATTGTTCAAACAATTGTAAAACAATTAGATATAACTCATACACGTTTATTCAAAATGTAACAAACATTTAACATGATTATCAGAGATAAACCTAATTACTCAACTATTTGACTAAATTTTCATTCTCTTACTACGAGTATTAGGTCTATTCTCTTATTATTTTTCGTTTGTAAAAATAGAATGTCCGTTATGTGTATATAAAACTATTTTATAATGGCGGTCAATAGAAATAAAAATAATAGCATGAATTTTATTTTTAGAACTTTCATCAACTTTATTATGTTATTTTGGCGGATTAAAATAGTCCCAATGATGATGATGCGTTATCGTTCGAGGATTGCTGAAATAAAATATCAATAAACCTGCGACCAAGAGCAATAACGCGCACAACGTTAATTCCACTTCTCTGATCTTTTCCCGTGATTCTTCATTACCTACCATGGATGCCATATAATTCACAAAATGCCTCATTGCTCTTAAACCAGCTAATCGAAGTACCCTGATCAATTGTATGGTACTATCTGTAATACTTGGTTCGGTATCGGTACGATGGCTGGCCAAAGAGAAAAACTGTGAAGGAATTTGCGATGCTGGAAATGCGATGAGATGAGTTCCTTCTAACGCAAAGCAAGAGGGCGAATGAGATGATTCTCTTTGGCTTTCTCTGTCTGATTGATCCGTGAACGACGTGTAAGAGATTACAGCACGTTGCGGCTGTATTTCGCTGCTAGTGCCGCGACTCGTGACACTGTCTGGTGTGTCCGGTGTTACCGAGATGACCGGTGGTAACGATCGAACCGGGGAAGCGGTCTGCCGTGTTCGAGAGATACTTATAGGGGATGGCGATCTGGACCTCGATTTTCGAGTCTTTTTTTCGCTAATCTCGCTCGACGTTTCCTCATCTTTCCTCTCTAACGTAGAAAATTCGCGGAATTCTGGCGGCTTCCAGTCGAAGGTTGGATCAATTGATTCATTGCTAGCTTCGAACACACGATCCGAAGATAATCTCAACTCGGTGCTCTCTTCCAGGGTGGTTGTTACAAAGGGAGGACGTGAAACGTGGGATTCTTTTATGTTGAATTCCTTAGCTGTGCCCGTGCTCAATGAAACAGGTCTTTCTGTATCTAAAATTCGTAAGGACTTATCTTGAATATTTTGAACATCAGAAAATGATTGTATACTAGGAATATCTTTGTCGCTCGATTCTACTTGCGAGATTGTTAGTGCGTGTATCGACTCTTTGTTCTCTACTTGCGCGACTGATAGTGTATGTGTACTTGGTATATCCTTTATCTGGATTACTTCTCTTTTAACAACCTTTTGATCCTCGCTCTTTGGTTTCTCCTCTTCTTCGCCAATTTCTCGAACAATCGTCTCTTCGTCTAGTTTCCGTTCCACGCTTTGCCCCTCTGCAACAGGAATGTCTGCTGTCTTCTGTTCCGCCTCGATCGCTTTGCTTTCTTCTCTCTGATCTTGTATTCTGAAGGCGGTCACAGTCTCCAAATGACTTCTGATTGCCATCAACTCCCTAATAATGGAAGGAGATAGACTTTCCCCCATACTGCCTTCTATGTTCTTCAATTCGGATGCGGTAATGATCAACGCGTCCACTTCGGATGCAACGATCTTACTAGCCTCGATTTGAGAAACGCTAAGACGATCCACTCTTAAGTCCCCGACTTCCAAGTTAGAGATCCTCACAGGCTCGTCTGAAAACAGGGCGGATCGAATAGATTTTACATGCGATTCCTGCTCGTGGATTGGCTCACCCAAATGTGGCGCGGATAAATGTCTATCCTCGAGAGCTTGAATCTCTTTGGACGGCGATGGAGATTTTAACGAAACGGTATCGTAAGCCTGTTCCGATTGTTCTTCATCTTTGCGCAGTCTCTGCGATATCGGCAGGGGGGGAACAGGTGGTGTGCCCATGCTCGACGGACTCGGTATTCTCTCCGTGGAGACCATGATCTGCGAGCCTGAGATAGATGGCGCCACGACCAATTTCGCCTGCGTCACTTCCTCTTCTATCACCACGTCATCGGGCAAAGGATCGGTTTGCGTGGCAGTGGTTGTTTCCATGGCGATTTCTTCTCTTAGTTCACGAGTGGATCGTTCCATCGACTTATCCTTTCTGGATCTAGGTGGCCTAGGTGGCGCTGGCAACGGTCGTCCCTGCATCTTACTCAAAACCTCGTTGCTGCGCAGATCTTTGTGCTCTCCATCATCAGAGTCGATTTCTATATAAGGAGTCGACTCGGTTGCTTGCAAGGTTATGTCGTACGTATCGTCCATCAGTATTATATTATTTTCGCTAGATCTGGCTGGGCCAAGTGTACTGTACGCTCTTTGGGGACGTTTAGGTGGGTTGGATCTAGGAGCAGTGGCAAACTTGTCTCTTTTTCTTCTCGGTGGCGGCGGCCTGGGTGGTTTCTCTCGTTTCTCTATAACGGCGTAACCTGTCAATTCTCTTTCAAACTCTACGTCGTCCCGCGGAATATCCTCCTCCACGTAACCGGCTTCTGGCAACGATTCCGCGCCATGGGACGTTCTATCCTCGTCCAAAGCGACCGAAGTACCCCTGGATCTGGATCTTCTTTTCGGCGGGATCGGGGCCGGTTCCATGTATTCTTCCTCTCGAAGCCTCGTCGCCAATTTCCGAATATTCTCTTCGCTCGTTGCCATGATTTCTTCAGCCGTGTACACTTCTTCTTGTTCGTCTAATCGAACGTTGTACATTTTGGACAGCGACGAGGAAAGAGGTTTCCCGGGAGTAGAATCGCCGGCCCACTCGGCGTGTCCATTGCAAATCGCAGGTTCGACTAGTTCGCCGTTCCTCCGCTCAGGTTCTTTTCGCGACCGTTTTCTGCGAGAGGGCGCCACAGGAGGTACCGGCGACGGTGGGCGAGGAATATCCGTCGCGAGCTGCGATTGGCTACGTTGCAAAGATCTTGACTTTCTGCGCACAGGCTTCACTACCACGATGTCATCTAACGGCTCCACGGGAAGTTGAGCCGGCTCTCCCTCCGTCTGATAGACCACTCTGTGCCTGGAATCGCTTCTGGTTCGATCACGGAACATCTGGTCGTCCGTAGATTCGCTTCGACGAGCCCTGTTCGGCCTGATAGGTGGCGTAACATCGTACGACTCTGTCGAACGTTCTTTATCCTTTCTTAAGGATCTGGTCCTCGCAGGGCGTCTCGGCGGGATCGGCACCATTTCCTCGTCGGCCAAAACATTTCTCTCCGGCCTCAAAGCGTCTCTGATCTCGCCTGTCAAGTATTTCCCGAAATTCATGTCATCCTGGCTGAGTCCACTTTCCCGTAGGAAGAATTCATCGGAATCGATCTCCTCGATCACTCCGTGGCGTCGTCGTTCGCAGGAGCTGCTGCTCGAGTGCTGCTGCTCCCTGTCCGATTGAATGGACAATGGCTCAGGCTCC